TTAGCCTCTGCCCATGAATTGGTGTGGATCCTCACATGCGTCTCTCTATTTCATCATCTGGAACAAGTAGACAGTGAGACATACCACTAGAAGTTCCACAAATGGAAGGATTTCTCTTCTCCACTGACCTTCAGGTTCACCACTGAGTGTGGCTGACTGATGCTAGCACATTGTTTAGAGCCATTTGTAAGGCAGACTTGAAGTTTTTCCTCTTTAATTATAGGGAAATCCAGAAAGGCCATGGGTTGAGAGGGTACTGCAGGAGTAGGCATGCTGGGCATGTGAGCGTTGCTACTCCAGGTCCACTCAGGTCCTCCCCATATTCCTGCCTATCTATTTGACTTCTGCTTAGTGACGAAGCTCCAGCCTGGTGAATCAGAGAACACTCAGCTCATCATGGGCACTTTGATTTCATGGTCACTTGGTGTTCCGCAGCCAGGCGTTTAGTCTCTATCAAAGCCAGGTTATAAGCCAAGAATTAATTTTCAAAAGTGTAATAGCCTTTGACAAAGAGAGCATGCCTTTATTGCAAAATTCCCCTCTTGTAATTGTTCAGTGGAGGCTTTCCTGAGCTTGATGAAGCATCCAGTCTGCTGTAGGCACTTCGCACAGGTACCATTAGATCTGATAGATCAGGGGCCCAGTGGCAAAATTGCTTGCATTATAGCTCAGACAGCTAAAGGGACTTTTCGTGCTTTCAACTCTATTAATGCTGGTAGCCCCTTTTGGGTCTCCCACTTAATGGGTCAAAGAAGCACATTATACTGTTCAAGTTTCCTCCAAAATTCAAAAAGGTCCACCAAGTATTATGCTTTTTTCTTCTTGGTAGGGGACATAAAATACCACAACTTTCTTTTTTGGAGAGGTTTCATCAATATGCCCCTGATTGAGGAGTCCTCTCCCAAGAAACTTCACAGGGGTTGCTGGCTACTGTTTTTTTGTTTGTTTGTTTGTTTGTTTGTTTTGAGACAGTCTCACTCTGTTGCCCAGGCTAGAGTGCCCTGGCATCAGCCTCAGCCTAGCTCACAGCAACCTCAAACTCCTGAGCTCAAGTGATCCTCCCACCTTGGCCTCCCAGAGTGCTAGGATTACATGTGTAAGCCACCACGCCTAGCCTGGCTACTGTATTTTTATGGGCTGTATCTTTAGGATGCATGTGTTTCTGAAATTAATTTATCCACCTTCCTCCAACACCGATACACTCATAGCAACTCGGTGACCTTGGTGTGAGAACATAAGACAACACTAATAGATCTAATCTTGGGCATCTTTCTTTTTTTTGCACTGCTAGTATCTCTTTTCCCCAAACTTCCTCACTCTCTCTACTATTTCTCCTGTTTTTCCAATAGCTGTGTACATGGCTTTGGCCAAACCAACCAAGCATTCATTCACTAAGATGTACTGAGTTGCCACTATGTGCCAGGCACTTAAACCACTGGACATTTAGCAGCAAACAAAATTGACATGGCACCTGCATACCTTTCACAATTAGCAAGCCAGTAGCATGGATCCAGAAAGTGGAAAAGAGGGAGAAGATGCTGTACAAGAGTACTGACCTTGAACACATAGGGATCCTGCCCACCAACCTGAGAAACAGACTGTAACCAAACAGAGCAGCCATTTTTCCATGTATGGAGGAATTATTAGTAAGAGGAGTAAAGTATTCTTCCAGTTCTCTTCTGTGGAGAGAGGAAGTGCAAATGCAAATTTCATTCCTTCCTATGGTAGAAGCCTAAATGTGAGGAAAGAAAGGAGCTTGTCCTGATACCAGCAGTATTCCTTGTCATTGCTGAGCACCGCCCTGGGATTGGTTATAATTAATTCATAGTGACACCAGCCTGCCTGGTTGAGTGATTTTTTTTTCCCCCAGAAACATTCAATTGCATGCTGAACTGATCCAGAGATAGTTTTCCCAGATGAATATGACAGAGGGAGAGGGGCTTGGGAATTGAGATATTTCCAAGAGAGTGATTATGATGTCTCACTGAATCTAAGATACGGAAGAAGGTAAAGATAGAAGGGTATTAATGGATAGAAAGTGATAGGATTGGTCAGTGCCTTACAAATCTTGATGAAATTAACAATTTATCATGGTTTTAAAAAATATGCTGGCAGGCTGTGCGATTTTGATAATTTTAGTGGACTGTGTAAATTTGCAATTTCGAGGTAGTGAATGTTTCTGATGATGAAAAGAAAATGAATAAGAAAGGAAGAATAGAGGGAAAAGTTCCCTGGAGATGAGGAAGTCAAGAAATTGAGAGGTGACATTGGGCAGCTCATCCGAGTGGATATTGAAATCAGTAAACAGAAAGACAAGAATTGAGATAAAAAGAAAAACAAGGCAAAGTGCTAAAATCTTTAGTACATGGAGAATGACCAAGCAGTTGGCAGATGACGGCAGATGATGGAGCCAGATGGCATAAGCCTCAAAGGAGCAGGGGATTTTTTTTACAACAGGGGCTGAGAGAGAATAATTATCTGGAAGTTGCACTGGGGAAGCAGAAGCCGTCTCCTCCTGATGCTGCAGGATGAGCGGTGTGAGCGTCCTGCAGAGGAGGCAGTGTGCTCGGTATGTTTCAGTTGAGGCACAGAGGTGAAGAAAATATTCTGAGAGGAGACTGTTCCTTTGGAAATGGGATAAGATTTCCTGATAGTGCAGCCTTCAAGGCTTAAAAGAACCAGCAGGGGTTTGTTTGTTTGTTTATTTATTTATTTATTGATTTATTTTTCAGCATATTATGGGGGTACAAATGTTAAGGTTCCGTATATTGTCCTTCTCCCCCTCCCCCCTCGAGTCAGAGCTTCAAGCGTGTCCATCCCCCAGATAGTGCACATCACACTCATTATGTATGTATATACCCATCCCCTCCCCCCCACCTGCCCAACACCCGATAAATGTTATTCCTATATGTCCACTTAGGTGTTGATCAGTTAATACCAATTTGCTGGTGAGTACATGTGGTGCTTGTTTTTCCATTCTTGGGATACTTCACTTAGTAGAATGGGTTCCAGCTCTATCCAGGAAAATACAAGAGGTGATAGATCACCGTTGTTTCTTATAGCTGAGTAGTATTCCATGGTATACATATACCACATTTTATTAATCCACTTATGTATTGATGGGCACCTAGGTTGTTTCCACACCTTTGCGATTGTGAACTGTGCTGCTATAAATATTCGAGTTCAGGTGTCCCATTTGTAGGGTGTCATTTGATCTTTTGGGTAGATGCCCAGTAGTGGAATTGCTGGATCAAATGGTAGATCTACTTGTATCGCTTTAAGATATCTCCATATTGTTTTCCACAGAGGCTGAACCAGTTTGCAGTCCCACCAGCAGTGTAGGAGTGTTTCTATCTCTCCACATCCATGCCAACATTTATTGTTTGGGGACTTTTTGATAAAGGCCATTCTTACTGGAGATAAGTGATAACTCATTGCAGTTTTGATTTGCATTTCCCTTGATGATTAGAGATGTTGAGCATTTTTCATGTTTGTTGGCTCTTATTCTGTCTTCTTTTGAAAATTTTCTGTTCATGTCCTTTGCCCACTTTTTGATAGGATTGTTTGGTTTTTTCTTTCTGATTTTCCTGAGTTCTAAATAGATTCTAGTTATCAGCCCTTTATCGGATGTGTAGCTGCGAAAATTCTCCCATTCTGTGGTTTCTGTTTGCCTCTCTTGACAGTTCTTTGGCTGTGCAAAGCTTTTTTATTTGATCAGGTCCCATTTATTTATTTTTGTTGCTACTGTGATTGCCTTTGGGGTCTTCTTTATAAATTCTTTGCCTAGTCCAATGTCTAGAAGAGTATTTCCAACATTTTCCTCTAGGATTCTAATAGTTTCACACCTAATGTTCAAGTCTGTTACCCAGCGTGAGTTGATTTTTGTGAGAGGTAAAAGGTGTGGATCTTGTTTCAGTCTTCTGCATGTGACTATCCGGTTTTCCCAGCACCATTTAAGGATAAGGATTCTTTTCCCCAGTGAATGTTTTTGTCTGCTTTGTTGAAGATTAGTTGGCTATATGAGTATGGTTTTATATCTGGGTTCTCTGTTCTGTTCCACTGGTCAATGTCCCTGTTCTTGTGCCAGTTGAAAGCTGTTTTAATTACTATAGCCTTGTAGTATAGTTTGAAATCTGGTAAATTGATACCTCCTATTTTGTTTTTATTGCCTAGGATTGATTTTGCTATATGGGGTCTTCTCTGGTTCCATACGAAGCATAAAATTTTTTTTTCTATATCTGTGAAAAATGATGATGGTATTTTAATAGGGACTGCATTGACTCTGTAGGTCACTTTGGGTAGTATAGACATTTTAACAATGTTGATTCTGCCAACCCATGAGCATGGTATATTCTTCCACTTGTTTACATCCTTTGCTATTTCCTTCTTCAGTGTTTCATAGTTCTCCCTGTAGAGGTCTTTTACCTCCTTAGTTAAATATATTCCTAGGTACTTTCTTTCCTTTGTTGCTATTTTGAAGGGAATTGAGTCTTTGATTTGGTTCTCACTTATACTGTTGTTGGAGTATATGATTTCTGTGTATTGATTTTGTATCCTGAGACTTTACCAAATTCATTTATCAGATCAAGGATTCTCTTGGTTGAATCCTTGGGGTTTCTAGATATAGTATCATGTCATCAGCAAAGAGTGAGAGTTTGATCTCTTCTGCTCCCATTTGGACGCCCTTAATTCTGCTCTCTTGTCTATCAAATTTATAAAAGCAAAAACAATCATAAGAGTGTGAGATGATATACCATGTTAGGTGCTTATTTCTCTATCTAAAAATGACTACTACTTTAAAGTTCTGTTAATGTATGAAAGTTGCATATTAGTCTCATAAAATATTTTTGTTCACTTAAGATACTTCATATTTTATTTATAAATTTCAGTTAAATCACACTATGATCTCTTCACATTTTATTATGGTGCTGCATTGTTTGAAGGAGGGGAAAAAGAACAAGTTGTCCTTATACAACCTTTTTTTTCTCTCTATTTTTCAGATCAATAACTCGATCTTATTACCGCAACTCAGTTGGTGGCTTTTTAGTATTTGACATTACTAACCGACGATCTTTTGAACATGTGAAAGATTGGCTAGAAGAAGCAAAAATGTATGTACAGCCATTTCGGATTGTATTTCTGCTAGTGGGACATAAATGTGATTTAGCTTCACAACGTCAAGTTACAAGGGAAGAAGCTGAAAAACTATCGGCAGACTGTGGAATGAAATATATAGAAACCTCAGCAAAAGATGCTACAAATGTTGAAGAATCCTTCACAATCTTGACAAGAGACATATATGAACTTATTAAAAAGGGAGAAATTTGTATTCAAGATGGCTGGGAAGGGGTTAAAAGTGGTTTTGTTCCAAATACTGTGCATTCTTCTGAGGAAGCAGTGAAGCCCAGGAAAGAGTGCTTCTGCTGACTTCAAACATGCCAAAGAACTAACAAGAACAGATTGGGTGTCATTTCAGGATAAATACCAACATTAAAAGCAGAACGATGCAATGAAAGCATTAAAAAACCCACACTGACACTATTTTGTAAGGTATTTGATTCGGAGCACTATACTTACTTGTTAAACTACCAGATTAGGTATTTTGCTAAATTATCAGGCAAAGCAGACAACTTTTTCTTGAAACTGGCATATCTACATATTACCTCCATTCTCACTTTGTCAGCATACAGCTGACCTTAGTGTCCAGATATATCAATATTACTCATTTTTCTTGACAGTTCAAAATGGATTTTTTTGTATAATACATAGTCTGATTAAAAATATTTTATCAGGAATTACGTTATCTTGAGTTAATTAAGATTGAATAGTAAAGTGCATTTAAAAGTACGCTGTTCACTTGCAAAATAAACAATCTCAGAAGTATCAACTAAGACTTAAGTAACAGTTGTTGTTTAAGGTACCAGGGATTTTTTTGTTGTTTTTTTTTTAACCGTTCTCTGAATATTTATCCTCCTTTAATTTTGCCTGAACATAAGAAAATGAGTTTTGTACTCATTTTTGTTCCCCGATTTGTTGCTCCTAAAAGTTTTATGTTTTACAGAGATATGTAAGGATCCAAGCAAAATATGCTAAGCAAGTATTTGTAAAAATAAAAAACAAAGGATCACTCAGTAGCAAATGTTCGATGTTACTGTATACTGTTTGTGTTTAGACAAGAAAAACAAAATTTATTTATATACTGACATTTTCAAAGGTAGTATATGCAATTTACCTTTATTGTCAAAATTATCAATATAGGTAAATATGGAATGTTTTTAATAATAGCATTTTTGTCCAAGTAAACTTCCAAATTTTTCCATTTTCAATACAAGAAGAATGTAGAAAAGATTTTTCTGGATAAGGAAAATTGGTTAGATGTTTGATATATTTAGCATTCAAATTGCATTTTACAAATCTCAACAGTGCAAGTGAAGATAGAATAATTAGTCAAGGCAGTAAAATGACTTTTGAGTTTCCTAATTTTTAACTTACTGATTAAACTTCTCTCCTGGAAGCGACATTTTGATCACAATTCAAATATTTTATAACGTACTCTATTCTATAAACTATTCCTAATCACAGAGGGGCACCAAATGAAGCTGCATTTTTGGAATCATAATGTTTTTACTGTTAAACTGTATATAGTTGCTTCATTTGTTTGAAAACCAAAGTGGTATAGTAGAAAGAATATTTAACAAGAAATCAGAGAACTTGATTTTAAACTTGCCTGTGCAGTACCAATACTTGACCATGAGTAAGTCCCATAACCTCTCTAAGCATCATTTTTCTAATCTGTAAAATGAGACTAATAACTTGAGTTATTGTGTTTCATGGAATTATTTTGAGAATCAAGTGAATCAGGCAAAAAAGCTTTGTAAATAGAGAAAGCATTATACAAATGTGAGATTGATAACAGTTGCTCATGGCCATACTATTATATTTATAATGGATGAGAAGTTTGTTTTTTCCTTTCATTCCTGTGCAGAGGGAGCAAAAAACGGTGTGTGATTTCAAGGACCTGCGGGAATTCTTGGTTGATGCTTATCCTCTACCCTTTTTTACCCTGAACCACTGCTCCTCTAAAGTGGAAATGATAGAGAGGGAAGTCCCTGGAGACTTAATCCAATCAAAAGTCATGTTTGAATGTGTTTTTTGTGCATCTTTGAAGTAGATATTTACTTCTATTTTCAAATACTTGTACATTTTCTAGGTTCATGTAAGTATTTTTTAATAGTGCTTATGGAGAGAATATAAATTATAACCATAAAAATTATAAATATTTATATTGTCAACATTTCCTTGATATTCTTAGGTTAATTTCACATTGATTTCAAACTATAATCAACCAGGTGAGAAAGTACCTGTCCCCCAAAATGTGAAGTAGTCTGTTTTTACTGTTACAGTCCAAAATGGCATAAACTCAAATACTGAATATCTAACAACAGTTTAAAGTTCAGTCACCTGTGCCTACTTTTAAAGTTAAATAGCTAAAATATAAAATGTGATTTAACTTTCAGTGGACACCTTTATAATAATATTGGGGGAGACTAATATTGGGGCTGAAGGATATTGTGTATTCCAAGATTGAAAATAAGACTAATGGCTGGGCGTGATGGCTCGTGCCTGTAATCCCAGCACTTTGGGAGATTGAGGCTGGAGGATCGCTTGAGGCCAGGAGTTCAAGACTAGTCTGAGCAACATAGTGAGGACCCCCCCCCATCTCTAAAAGAATTAAAAATAAAATAGAACTAAGGAATTTGAAGAAACAAACTGGAAGGCACAAGGCCCAAAAAGTTGATACTTACATGACAGAAGCAGGCCTAGAACTCTGGTTGCCCAACAGGTTGCTCACCAAGCTGTTTTGTGTGTACATATGTGTGTGTGTATTGGATAGGGAAGGATGCAAAAGAAAGGGGAAATGTGATCTAACTGAATCCACAAACTACTGTGGTTGGGTTAGATGATTTTTATATTATAGAGGAGCTATTTCTGGTAAAAACAATAGTAAAGCGAATGATGACTACAAAGATCTGAGTTCTTACGCAAGATTGCCAAACATCTGTATAACCCCTAGCAAGATAGCTTTACATTTATATATGTAAAATAGGTGACCTATTTTCTTACACATCATTATAGAGAATATGGATAATAATGCCAAAATAGTAAAAATATTTGCTCCAGGCAAAATGTTTTGATTAAGTTTCTTAGACATCTAATGTACTTGATTTTACATTAAAATTATTTCATTTAAAATGTATTTAATTGAAATTTAAACCATGTTTAAATTCAAAAATGTAAAACTAATGAATGATGTAGCTGATTACTAAAATTTTAAGTACATGTGATTTTTAAAAAGGAATGAAAAACTATCCAATTATATAATAAACTTGCCCCTGCCAGAAATTACTCATCTTGAGCTTCATTAACACTTTCAATGCATGTAGTGATGTGATGGTTTATTAAATGGTAATCTTAAGCCAAAATATTTAAATACTCAGAATGCTTTTAAATGTGGCCTTTATATGCATAATAGTAGCAAACCAGATTTCCTGAGCCTGGAAACTTGAACGATTACTCTAGGTTTCCAAAAGCCTCAAGCACTCCATGATTTTTTTTTTTTTTTTTTTTTTGTGGCAACCAAAATAGTCTTTTATATTGTAGCTAAGATAACTTTACAAGAACAAAGTCTTTTTATCCAACTTTCATCATTAAAAACTGAATCTATGGATTAATAAAATCATTTTAAGAGTATTTTTGTCAGATTTTATACTGCCTTTAGTTCAACTAAGAACAAAGCTTTCATTAACTTTAAAAAAGTGCACTGTATTTGAATAATTTCCTTAGGTCTGATATAGTGAGAAGGACTAGCAAGCTAAAGACCCATTTCATTTGTTTCTTAGTAACTACCTGGAAATATTTGGAAATGCAAAGGAAACATAGAGCCTTTAAGAAAAAAACTGAAAGACTACAAAGGCTTTAAAGTCAGATCTTGAGCTGGTACAGTGGTTCACACCTGTAATCCCAGCACTTTGGGAAGTTGAAGTGGGAGGATCTCTTGGGACCAGAAGCTCTAGACCAGCCTGGTCAACATAGTGAGATCCAGTCTCTACAAAAATTAGCCCTTGGTGTGGTGAAACACACCTGTAGTCTCAGCTACTCAGGAGGCTGAAGCAGGAGGATCACTTGAGCCCAAGAGTTTGAGGTTGCAGTGAGCTATGAAGACACCACTGCACTCTAGCAAGACCCTGTCTCAAAAAGTAAAAAATAAAATAATAATAAAGTTAAATCCTTTGCATTTAAAAATGGTAGAATCCATTCCCAATCAGAAGCTAACTTGAAAATTCCACAGCTGATAAATAGCCATCTCTGCTTCAGAAACTTTCTAAATCTCAATGTTTTCACTATACTTTCCTGAGCAACCAATCTTCACTTGACCTTAAAATAACTTAATAACAAACTAATCTCCTGAACCTGAATGAACTGCTGCATGACCTGGTATTTCTATAATGTTAATAACTGATGCAAGTAGACACATGAGTGATGAGCTGTGACAATCTATATCAATCATTGTACAATCTAGTTCACTTACTGCACATAATCATGGTAGAAAATAAATGAAAACATTTTCTAAGGTATAAAAAAATTAGTGTACCTTGCTATTTCTCTGGGTAAATTGTTTGTCTTTTTTTTTTAAAAAATAGTGCCTACAACTTTGTCTTATCTATGTGACATTTAGTAACTACTAATTGATGGTTATTATGTTGAATTAATCCTATTAAATGTGGGTTCCACATACTTGGTTTTAATTTGTATGTTCCACAGAAGAATAAACATCTTTTGCTATGATATCTCTTGGCATTTTTTTTTCCAGAATGACAACCAATGAAAATAAGATACAAACTTTTCGAAGTGTGTTACTAATATTTGATTTTAAATAATGAATAACAAGAATGAGAATGAAAACTGTGATTGTGCCAGGATTGTTACATTATCCTTCTTTAGCAATCCATCTTTAGTAATGCTTTTAAAACAGAAGCAACTGTTTAACTGCAATTGTGTATATGTTTGTGTGTGTGTGGGCGCGCGCACGTGTGTATTCACAAATGAAGTACAAATAAGAATTAATTAGAGATCTGTAATCCCTTATATATTACATTATACCATGCTGGAGTGTGAGGCAGAACCCCATAATCAAACATTAATATTTTTATTCAGCAAAATGTATGAATATTCATACTAAAAGAGATAAGGTCTATAAATAACCTGTCATCAGTTTAGGTCAGATTTTTGCTGCCAAATGAGTTATAAAAATAATCTTAGATTTTCAGAGCTCTTTTGATTTCAGAATTGCAGAAAAGGGATCATGGCCATATTCTATGCCTTAACAGATATTTCAAAACTCGTGACTTTACTTGGTTCATCTTTGTTGTACTTCAGCCTTGCACATAGTAGCAGTTTATTAAATTTTAAATTGAGCTGTTAAATCACACAGAAAATTTTCATACATTCTGCACATGTAACACAGATGTAAAATGTTTACCACAGTGCTTAGCACATTTTTTTTTAAGAGACAAGGTCTCACTGTGTTGCCCAGGCTGCCCTCAAACTGTTAGGCTCAAGCAATGCTCCCACCTCAGCCTTCCGAGTAGCTGGGACTACAGGCATGTGCCCCTGTGCCTTGCCCATCATTTTTATTATTATTTTTGTTCTAGTTTTAGTGTCATTCTTACTATAATCACCATTTGTCAAGGAGGGAATTTTAATCCTCATAGTCAACTAGAAACTGATTTTTTTTTTTTTTTTGAAACAGTCTCACTCTTGGGTGAGTGCCTTGACATCAGCCTAGCTCACAGCAACCTCAAACTCCTGAGTAGCTGGGACTACAGACGCACACCACTACTCCCGGCTAATTTTTTCAATTTTTAGTAGAGACAGCAGTCTTACTCTTGCTCAGGCTGGTCTCGAACTCCTGAGCTCAAACTGTCCTCCCGCCTCTGCCTCCCAGAGTGCTAGGAGTACAGGCGTGAGCCACCGCGCCCTGCCTGAAACTGATTGTTGATAATGGCTGCCTTGTTCATTTTAAGTGGTCATGACTCTGAAATGGTCTGATTCTTAGAATCAGAGAAGAATGCTTTACTAGTGCCCTGAAGGACATAGAGAAGATGATACAGCTCTTGGGAATTGCTGGCCATCAACAACAGCATCTGACATATGGACAGGTACTGGAATCAGTGTGAACCAACACATCTCTTGACAGCAGTACTGGAAATAGTCACTACCAGGAAGAGTTAGCACATGCACCCAATGTGGTAAGGACTGTGGATCAGTCCTTAGTTTACATAAAATCGTTATGTAAACTACATAACCATTACATAAAATGATTATCAGTAGCATTTTTAAAAGATTTTTTGGTAACAGCTTTATTCACATATAATTTACATGTCATACAATTCAACCACTTAAAAGGAACAAATCAATAGTTTTGAATATACTCAATTGAGCAACTATCACCATAATCAATTTTAGAATATTTTCATCACCTCAAAAAGAAATCCCCATACCCTTTAGCTATCACCTTAATACTCTTCCCCACCTGCAACCCCACCCACCCTACACCAGAGTCCTAAACAGCCACTAATCTACTTCTTGTGTCTCTGTATTTGCTTATACTGGACATTTCACAGAAAAAGAGTCATATAATATGTAGCCTTTTGTGACCGGCTTCTTCCAATTAGCATAATGTTTTCAAAATAGTAGCTTCATTTTAATAAAAATTCTCCCATTGTGTAGTAAATACTCATTGCACAAAACTTAGAAAATATAGAAAGATAGAGGGAAATCATCATTAGACCCATTACTGTAAATCAACTTTTTAATATTTAATATATTCCTTCTAGTAAACACAGCCATGTAGTAAAAAGAAAAAAAAATATGATAGCCGTCTTATATAGTAGGTGGTGGCGGCGTTTTTTTCTCCTCCCCTTCTTTTCTTCTCCAAGAGAAAACCACTGCTTACAATTTTATATATTCATGTCTTTTTCCTATGTATTTACACATACCATATACACATATATAATGGGAAGCTTCTTACATGGGATCAGTTTTAATATTCTGTAACTTGGGTTTTGCACATAGTAGGGTCTTAGAAATCTCTCCATATCAATATATATTTATTTTCTTTTTGATAGCTTCCTAGAGTACCACAACACATACTTGACTATTTCCAATAATAGACATTTAGATTTTTTTCAATTTTTTTGCTACCAGAAACAATGTTCCAATGAACATCTTAGTGCACATATTTTGGTGCAAATGTGTAATTTTGTGTGATGGATTCCTAGCAGTAGGCTTGCTGGGTTAAAGGGCATTGTACATTTTTTTGGTAAGTGTTGCCAAATTTCTCTTTAAGAGAGTAGGACTGGCTGGGCACAGTGGCTCACACCTGTAATCCTAGCACTCTGGGAGGCCGAGGCTGGCAGATAGCTCAAGGTCAGGATTTCGAAACCAGCCTGAGCAAGAGTGAGACCTCGTCTCTATTAAAAAATAGAAATTAATTGGCCAGCTAAAAATATATGGAAAAAATTAGCTGAGCATGGTGGTGCATGCCTGTAGTCCCAGCTACTCGGGAGGCTGAGGCAAAAGGATGGCTTGAGCCCAGGAGTTTGAGGTTGCTGTGAG